TCAAATGAGATAATATATGGAAAAGTGCTTAGCAAATCTTAAAACACTTAGTCACTGTTATAAAGGTTGTACTTTGGGGAGCCATGCCCAAGTGACTATTTCATCCCTCCTCCGTGTGAATTTTAAAAATCATACTTACTTACTACAAAAATATGCATGGTGCCAGAAGCAAATGACTAATGATGGAATATGTGAGGGTTCCACTTGAACCACTCATTTTTTAAAAAATTAATTTCATACTAGCTTTTTGTCTTCATATCACAGTTGTCCCTGTAGACAGAACTCTCCCTTATGACCAATAAAAACAATTAAGCAAAAGCATCAACTATAGAGGTTGTATATTATATTCTAACTGTCCCCCACCTCTTAGCTGGGAAGGAAAAGGAATCTTTCATTATCTCTTCTTCAGGGCCTTTATTGGCTGAACTACTAACTTTCAGGCAACTGAAGGCAATTTGAACAAGGATGTGACCTCTCTCATGAGTAACTGCTATGACTATGGAGACATGAATAGGCTTCAGGGCCTGAGGCTTTCAACGTTTCTAACAGTGGGCAGCTCAGACACAAAGATAATGGAGTGATCTTACTGAAATTTAATAAACCCTGAAAAAAGTGAAATTCTTGAGATTTCTAGCTTCAACCAAAATGCAGAAATAGAGGAGAAGAGTCTGTGCCTTGCTGGAAGCTCTTGACCTATCCTTGCATGTTTGAAAGCCTAGCTGAGTCCACGGTCAATGAGAGAAATGTGCTAAGGATAATTCAAGAATCTGAAAAGGGACCGCAGAGAGCCCAGAATGGATAGTAAAGCGGTCAATTAGAATTTATAAGGCACATGAAGTCCTTTACACCAGTGCAAGCAGGCTTTGAGCTCAAAGAGTTCTGGAGCAATTAAGAGTGTGAAAAGAGAGAGAAAAAAAACAAGAGAGGACAGGAAAAGACACCATAAACAGAGACTGGAAGTCTTTGGATGACTTTGCTAAAAGTAACATAAAGTTAAGCAGTGAGGGCTACATAGATGCACCGGTGGGATTTAAACTCTTCACTTGAGGAGAGTCAAAGTCAAGAGGAAGCAAAGATAAGGACATCAGGTAGGAAGGAACAGAGAAAAGACTGTAGATGTGGTCAGTTTGAGCTCACTGTGAAGGCACGGGATTAACGAGAGCCTTGCCTCCTCCTGGGAAGAACCACACTTTTACACCTCAGTTATCTATCGGGACTCTGGAGATCCTATGGCTGTGAGTTCAAACAGGAGAAAACTTTTTATTGATTCCAGTATAATGAGGTACACATAATTTTTTGCTTTCAAACCTGACCTGGGATTTCTTCAGTATAGAAAGCTACAGCCAAGGCATTTTCTCTACCAATTAAGACAGTTGCCTGGACCAGTGGTGTCAAATTTAAAGAGAAATGGGGGCCATTAACCCATGCAGAAGGATCCTTATCTACTGACTCAGAAAACCACAAGCTAACATTACCTATATTCTACTATGTTTTCATGTATTCTGCTAAATATTTCCCAATTACATTTTATTCTGGTTCAGGCCATACTTGAGATTACTGGATGAAATGTGGTCACTGCAGCCTCTTCTGTGTTTGACACACCTGGCGTGGGGTAATGAGAAGTAGAGTGACTTGGCCAGGGACACACAGCTAGTACGTGTCAGAGGCTGGGCTTTGAACCCAAGTATCCCTGACTGGTGGGACACTTCTTCATCCATTTTGCCCTGCTGTTTCTCTGCGGACACAGCATTTGGCCCTTCGATACTGACTGAATGACCAGATTCCTGTTTGGGGAAGTGGGCTCTTTGAGGACAGGTTATATATAACCCGAGTTTCTTTTACCTTGGGAAAAGACAGACGTTTGATTCCTAGTAAACATAGCTTTTCTCCACTGAGAAGAGGCAATTGGGAATGGGTTTATGTTGTAGCAGGATAGATCTAAAATAGAGGTCAGAGATAACTTTCTGACAGTAAGAGTTGTGAGACCCTGGAGTGTTGCCAACGGAGCTTGCGAAATCTTCTCTTGAGGTTTGAAAGAGACAACTGTCTCTCTGAGGTTGTGTTCGTCCTGTTCTGCCTGGAAGTCCTAAAATACTGTGCTTACTAACCGGAATTCCCCTTCAGACATTAACATGCTTCTTCTCCACCATGTGTTGCTCAGTCATTTTGGTTGATTCCAACTCTTTGTGACCCCATTTGGGGTTTTCTTGGCAAAGATATTGGAGTGGTTTGCTATTTCCTTCTCCAGCTCATTTTACAGATGAGGAAACTGAGGCAAACAGAGTTAAGTGACTTGCCCAGGGAGATGCAGCCAACAAGTGTCTGAGGCCAGATTTGAACTCAGGAGGATGAATCCAGGCCCAGCACTCTACCCACTGTGCCACCTCGAGGCCCTCCTTATCTCTCAAATGCATTTGATATGGGATATTTTGTACTATAGTTATCAGTATTAGTTGTCCTCTCTCCACTAAACCAACATCCCTCTGAGAGTAAAGGTTTTAACTTATCTAATCTTCGTATCTCCCCCAACCCAGTAGCCAGGACAGTGCTCTAGTATACCTAACAAACATTTAGTATGTATTTGTCATAGCCGCTGTCCTACACACCAGAGATGATGATGATAATAATAACAGTATGTATATATGTATACATAGGCACACACAAATACTTTTTTCATATTGTTTTATGCAATCCTCACAATCATCCTATGGGATAGGTTAGTATAAATATTATTAGTCCCATTTTATAGCTGAGGAAAACAAGGCTCAGAAGTATTTAAACATTTTGACCAAGCATACAGCTGGAAAGTCTGGAGGCCAGACTCAAACCAGAGGCCTCTGACTCCAAATCTGTCACTCTCTTTACTATATTCTGGCTAATATTCTATTTTCTTCTGAAAGTATTTGGGAGCATCCTGGGTCAGAAGAGATTAGTCCTTAAGTTTTCACTCCATTAAACAAAACCACGAACGTTAAACTGTGTCCTAATTAAATCACTGCTGAGACTTTAAGGAGTCATAAAGACAAATAAAAAATAAAAGACTAAATAACAGCATAGGTTTTCCCCGGGCATCTTCCAACACTACTACAGCGATCCCAATGTATGCGCTTCATCTTGCAAACAACAACTTGGGCAAAGTCAGAAGACATAACCCTCTAATTCTCTTTCATGATATGAAACGTGAACAACAGGGTTTCTGAGCAGAAGAGAACAAATCCAGTCTTGATACGTACATAAAAACCTTACGATTCAGATTCACTGGGGAAAGGTTCAATCTTAATCTCAATTAGCAAAGTTCTGAAACAAAAACAAGTAATCTTATTGCCAAGATGAGTCGTCCTGACTCCAGGCCTGGCCCCCTTGACATTGTGCCACCTAGCTGCCCTGGAAACTAAGGTTCCTTGAGGTCAAAAGACTTGGGCACAGCTCCAGCACTCCCAGAGAGAGGATGTGAATAGAAGTCTTCCTAATTCCAGGTCCAGCTCTCTACCCATGATACCATGCTGCTGCTTCTCCTAAAGAGCCACTGTGAGGGGTTCTGTACTTATTCTAACTATTCTGCCATAGTTCAATTCCATTTCAGAACTTTTCTGAAAATTAGCTTCCAGAGATAACCTGCTTCATTACTTTATAGCATATGTACAAATTCAGGAAGACTCAGCTTCCTCAGTTCAAATCTGGCTTCAGATGCTTACTAGCTGTGTGACCCTGGGTAAGTCACTTAACCTTGTTTGCTTCGGTCTCCTCATCTGTAAAATGGGCTGGACCACTCCAATATCTTTGCCAAGAAAACCTCAAATGGGGCCATGAACAGTTGGACACGACTAAAAAAACTGACTGAACAAAATAAATTTAGCACATTTTCTTGAAGAGGGAGTACTTGCTAAGTCTTGGGAAGTGTCATGGCGAAACATGGTGGAGGGAGATGGAGTATCCAGTCCTGAGAACAGCCAGTAGTCTAGCTGAGTTTGAATGTGGAGGACACAAAGGGAAGTGATGTGAAGTAAGGCTGGAAAGGTAAGTAAGTAGGAGCCACGAGGTGGAGGGCCTCAGACGCCAGGCTAAGAGTGTCTATTTTATTAGTCAGTCAATAAATATTTCTCAAGTGCCTAGGCACTGTGCTAAGTGCTGGCGATACAAAAAGAGGCAAAAGACGGTCTTTGTCCTCAAGGAGCTTACAACCTAATGGGGGAGACAACAAGGAAACAAATACATACAAACAAGCTCTCTCTCCCTCCCTCCCTCTCTCTCTCTGTATATATTATGTTATATACAATAATATGTTTTATAGTATGCACCATATATCATATACATAATATATATTTATATTAATGTGTGATGTGTGTGTGTGTGTGTGTGTGTGTGTGTGTGTGTGTGTGTGTAACAGGAAGTAACTAAAAGAGAGAGGGCACTAAGAGGAATTGGCAAAGGATTCCTGTAAAAGATGAGATTTTAGCTGGGCCTTAAAAGAAGCCAGGGTAGTCAAGAGGCCAAGATTAGGAGGGAGAGCATTCCAGGCATGAAGAACAGCCAAAAAAAATGCTCCGAGTCAAGCGATGGACTGTCGTTCATGGAACAACCAGGAGGCCAGTGTCACTGGATTCAGGAGTCCATGGCAGGGAATAAGTTGTAAGGAGACTGGAAAGACAAGAAGGGGCTAGGTTATGTAGGGATTTGAATGCCCCACAGAGCATCCTGTCTCTGATTCTGGAGGCAACAGGGAGCCACAGGAGTTTATTGAGAGAGAGATGACACGGTCAGACCCACATTTTTTAGGAAAATCACTTTGGTGGCTGAACAGCGGAGGGGCTGGAGTGGGGAGAAACCTGAGGCAGTCAAACCCACCAGCAGGCTACTGCCACAGTCTAGGCATGAGGTGAGGGGGATTCGTTTTTGACCAGGGTAGTAACATGTCAGACCATTATGATAACTGTGATAGACCAGAGGATGTTTTGCATTATCTGGAACTGTAAAGTAAAGGGGAAATTGTATGTACTCACTTCTAGCAACAGTCCCCCTTCCGGCATGGCAATTCCAGTGGGGAGGTGATCTTCTTTCACTGGGTGGTCACCTTGTGTCCTGAAGTGTTGCTCCTGAATAGCTGTTAGAGAAAAGAAGTAGCAATGTGTCAATGATCTTGATCGATTCATACCCCCTGTCCCCAGCCCAAGAAAGCAAACCACATTTTACAGGGTGGAATGACCTTCTCAGTAATCCAAGGGTTGTAAACATTGTTTTTACTGAATGATATTTTTTCCACTATTATCCGCTTCATCAAAAATAAGGCAAACAAATGAAAAGGTACAGGAAAACCAAGGGAAAAAACATCGTGTTACCAAATCATTGCAGTTTACATAATTCAACCCAGTTAATGCTGGCTCACAGCCAGCAACCAGAAGAAGACAGGACAACCCAACACTTAACTAAGTTTGATTCAGTTTGTCTTAGAAGCCTTTCGTCAGGACGATGCACTGAATTTTAATGTTGTTTCTTCAAGCCACAATTTTTACTTCCATGGTTCTTATTACATATCACTAGCCAGACTTTGATGCCATCTTCGTCTGAAGAAAACTTTAACATTTTTGTATATTAAAGTATATAAAAACACAAAAAGTTGCTTTTGATTCTCAACACCAACACAGTCACATCTCAAACTCTGTTTTGTGTGGTGAAGAAACTTGTGTCATAATGTGAGACTTCCATCCCCATTTATCTGGATAATACAGCATCAATCAGTCAGCCAGTGAAGCATTTATGAAGCACTCACTGTTTGCAAGTGATGAAGATAAAAAGAAAGGCAAAAACCACCTCTGCTCTCAGAGAGCTAACATTGTAATGAGGAAGATAACACACAAATACGCAAATAGCCTTATTCATACATGATACACACATGATATAGAAATAGAAGGTAATTTTCAGAGGAAAGGCATTAGTCAAAGATTGAGGAGGGGTTAGGGAAGGGAAGGGAACCTGGAAACATCTCCTGCAAAAAAAGGTAGGATTTGAGATAAGTGTTGAAAAAAATTCAGGGAAGCCAGGAGGCAGAGAGGGGAGGGAAAGCCTGCAGGCATTGGGAACAGCCAATAAAATGGCCAGGATGGAAGATGGAGAGTTGGATGTGAGATCTACCAAGTAGACCAGTATAGCCGGTCCTGGAGTATGTGGAAAGGAATAAGGAGTAAGAGAACCGAAAAAGGCAGAAAGTGGCCAGGCTGTGAAGGGCTCTAAACACCAAACAGAGGATTTTACATTTGCTCCTCGAAGTAAAAGGGATGCAAAGAGACTAACCAGAAGGCTACTGCAATAGTACAGCATTGAGGTGATGAGGACTTGTAACAGAGTAGCAATTTTGTGAGTAAAAAGAAGGTGGGGTTATATGTGTGTATACACAAATATATACTATGCATGCATATATACACACATACCTATACATAGCTACACATATATGCTTATACGTATACATATATACACATGTAGATACACATATATAATTTACATATATAAATACAGACATATATATATACATATATATGATGCGAAGGTGGCAACAGTGACTTGACAACTGGTTGGATACAGGGGGGCTAGTGTGAGTGAGAAGTCACTAAGGTTATAAGCCTGGATGACCAGAAGGATGACGGTCCCTTCAAAAGAAGAGGGCAGTGGAGAAGAGGAGAGGGTTTCAGGGTAAAAAGTTAATTTCTTTTTTGGACATGCTGAATTTGAGATGCCCACGGATGCCCAATTTGTGATGTCTAAAAGATAATTGGTGATGTGAAACTTGGACTTTGGGAGAGAGATTAGGGCTAGATATATAGCGCTGGGAATTATCTGCATGGATGTGATAACTGAATCCATGGCATCCGATGAGATCACCACGCCTGTCTCCCGGCTGTTCCACAAACAAGACACTGAATCTCTCAGCTCTGGGCCATTGGCTGTCCCCCGTGCCTGGAAAATGGGAGGGAGAAGAAAAGAGGGTCCAGAACAGGCCTTGGAGGAGTAGGCATGACCTGGTACCTCCAGCAAAGGAGGGCTACACAGAACAGTCAGAGAGTTGGAGGAGAACCAGGGGGTAGCTTTCATGAAAACCTAGAGAGCAGAGGATAAACAGAAGGTAATTGACAGCGTCAAAGGTAAAGAGTCAAAGGACAAGGCTTTTGATGTACTAATACTCAATGGAGATCACCTCATGCATGGAGGTAGTGTGGCATGGTGGGTAGAGTACTGGAACCAGAATCAGGAGTCACTTAAATTCTCTGATCCTCAGCTCCATTATCTGTAAAATGGGAACAATAACACTACCCACCCCTCAGAGCTGTTATGAGGAATAAATGAGATAAACTACATAAAGGCCTCAATAAGCCTCAAAAGTATTCTATAAATATCAACTGTTATTACTACAATCATAGTAATAGTCAGCATTTATACAGTGCTTCAAGGTTTGTTGGACAGCTAAGAGGCACATCAGATAGAGCATGAGGCCTGGAGTCAGGAAGGCCTGACTGTGTGTCACTTAAATTTACTTAGCGGTGTGACCCTGGGCAAGTCACTTAACCCTCTTTGCCTCAGTTTCTTCATTTGTAAAATGAGCTGGAGAAGGGAATGGCAAACCACTTGAGTATCTTTGCCAAGAACACCCCAAATGGGGTCACGAAGCGTAGTACCCAACTGAAATGACAGAACAACAAATACCAAGGGCATGTGTCAACTTGCTAATACCTGGATCTTTTTTGTCCTAATTCAGGACATGCCATAATGGCATATATGGGATCCAGCAGGGAGCCTGCCAACTTTTCTAGGACTATAAGCTTACCTGAGTACTTGCAAACATGGGTGCTAAAGGTTAAATAAAAGGGACTCTTTATAAATACATAAATATGGAATAAGAAAAACATCCATGCATTTATTTATTTTGGAGGCAATCAAGGCTAAGTGACTTGCTCAGGGTCTCACAGCTGGTAAAGCGTCTGAGGGCAAGCTTGAACTCAGGTCCTCATGACGCCCGTGCTCTTTCTACTGTGCCACCTAGCTGCTCCTCATACCCATGTATTTACGAATACACCAATCACAAATAAGCTAGATGAATTAGAACAATTCCTTTTGTACTTGGTGGTTACTCTCATGAATTCATCGGTTACTGCTGGTTTCTGTCTGTGCCTCTCTGCTGAACAGCCCATGTCTGATCACACTGCCTCCTCTAGTTACAGAGTACTTTCAAAAGGTCTTTTCTAACAACCATGTGAGTTGGGTAATTCAAGTAATATTTGTTAGCCTCACTGGAAATGTGAAAAAAGTAACGTTCCAAGGGGTTATACGATTTTTCCCAAGTCCACATATAGCTAGTAAGTGTTGAAATCTGAATTGCTGTTTCCAAATTCAACACCCTTTCCACTACACCATGTAGCTTCTCATAATCTCCACTATCTCTCATAATCTCACAATCTTTACAGTCCAGATGTATTGAAGCTGACCCAGACCAGTTGGCAAGAGCCAGTTGTTAAATTTTCAGTATGAGCATTTGGACTTTGGAAATTGGTAAATGGTACAAATCAGGTCTTGATTTACTATTCTGTTCATTAACTAGACTTTAGAAAGTGATGGAGAAAATATTAATAACACAGATGAAACTTAAAATAATGTTGTGAGTACATTTCTTTTTCAGAGAGCTGGTTGTTAAACATTCACCAGCACTGTCACTGTTTATAATTAACAGAAAGGTAAACAGTGAGAAAGTTGTATGGAAAAGTTAAGACCCAAAGCAAGGAAGAAGCACAGGGTCCTGAGTTCCAAGTGAAACTAGAGCAGAGAAAAATGTCAAAAGTGAAAGTTAAAATAAAGAAGCCAGAGGAAATATCGAGGCAGTTTCTTTAACCGAGATAACTTAAAGCCTACAAAGGAACAGCTAGTTTTTAAAGAGGAGTTTTCCCCCTTTGTATTGAGCTAAATTGTCCCTCTCGTAACCTCCAACTCTTACTGCTAATTTTTCAGTGTGGGGCCAAACAGAAAAGTTTAATCATTCTGTTGTTGTCGTTTAGTCATTTCAGTGGTGTTCAACTCTCCACGACCATATTTTAGGTTTGGTGGGTTTTTTTTTTTTTGAGCGAAGATACTGGAGTGGTTTGCCATGTCCTTCTCCAGCCCATTTTACAGATGAGAAAACTGAGGAAGGCAGAGTGAAGTCATTCCCCAGGGGGTCACACAGCTAGGAAGTGTCTGAACATAGTCTTCCCAACTCCAAGTTCAACGCTTTGTTCACTATTCATGGACAGAGCACTGGACCTGAAGTCAGGAAGACCTGAGTTCAAATCCGACCTCAGACACATACTAGCTGTGTGACCTTGGGCAAATCACTTAAACTCTGTTTGCAGCGATTTCCTCCAATGTAAAATCTGGACACTAACAGCACCTACCTCACTGGGCTGTTTTAAGGACCAAATAAAATAATAATTATAAAAGTGCTTAGCACAATGGCTGACCCACTAGGTACTATATAAATGCTTATTCCCATCCCTTCCCCCTTCCTCTTTGCCACTTTGCCCCTTAAGTCTTCTTCCAAACGAAGGCCCTTCAGATATTTGTAGACACTGATTATGTACCCACAAAGTCTTCTTTTCTCCCAACTACAAAGTCCCAATTCCCCCCAGTGATGTTTTTATGGCCTGGTTTTGAGCCCCTTCATCATTCTGTTGTCCTTTCTCTGACCAAGTTCTTTGTCAACGTGGTGCTCAGAGCTGAATACGAGACTCCAAATGTGGACTGACCGGGGCAGAGTGCAGTAGACATATCACATCCATCGTTCTGGACACTATGAGACCTAAGGTATCATCAGGCTTTCTGACCACTGACCTGTATCATATTCTCACTCCACTAACATCCCCAGTTCCTTGTTTCCTATGAGGTGCTTTCTAGATATGTTATCCCCCTTCTGCATTTGTGCAGTTGACTCATTACCTTTAGATTTGGCCCATCATTCTAGTTCTCTTTGGATACCAGTTCTTTCATCCAAAGAATTGGTGATCCCAATTTAGTGTCATCTAGAAATTCAATAACCCCATCATCAAGAGCATGATTGAATTCTCTGAATTAAATTCTTGAACAGAA